AAGTAAGTATGCAATCTAAATCAGTATGTAAATTTATATAAAATAATTACGATTAATAATCTTAATCTCAAATCTAATCGAACAATTTACGCCGGTTTAAATAATACGCCGGTAAAAAGTAAAGCTTTTTTAAATTCGTATACTTATGCATAATGTAGATATGTATATGTACATCAAAAAAACAAAATTCATAATTCTTTTCTTATTTTTGATAACATTTTAATAGCCTATTGTATACGTTATATGTATGTATGTGAATTAATGAAAAAAACAATGGCACTATGTGGTCCATCAATTTGGCAATTAAAAACAATATACAAACCTAATTTCGAAATTTAAATACATTTATATAAATGTGTGTTTGTACATTTATGGACACAAAATATTCAAAAATTTTTTAAAAATTTTGCAATAAACAGAGCAGAATTAATAATCATATAAAACGATATAATTTAATTAAAAACCCATGCAATTTACCATTTAAGCTTAATATTATAATTTAGATGAAATTATATTGCCATTTTTAAAGTTTTATAAGCATTTTATTGTTCTTAATTATATTAATTTAAAATGTACAATTTGAAAAATATTTTATAGTGTATGGAAAATTTGCAAAATATTTTATAGTGTATTGGTTTTTCTTTTAAATTAACACGAAAAAATTGCATACAACATTTGTTTATAATATGAATTAAAGTACGTGTAAGCGTGAGTGCGTGAGTAAGTGAGAGCTTATATTTAGAAAATTGTCTACTCAATATAAATCATTAATTTCTTATAAATTTCAAAGAAAACAATAATATAATAATTATTAAGCAAATATTTATCTTCCATTTTAATTGTTTTTGTATTGACTTCCGAAATTTAATACAAAACCGTTGAACAATCCAGTTTGTTCTAAAATTTAGAGCTTAAGTAGAAAAAATCAGGGAGAGAGAGAGCAGCCAAAAAAAAATGTTGTTCTAATCAGCCAAAAAAAAATTGTTGCTTCTAGTATACACGTTAAATAAAATTTTGCCATTGTAAATCTTATTTTTGTTTAATATAGTAAATTAGTGTTTAATATTGAATTAGTGATTATTGTGACAACAATATTCAATATAATCGTCTGTAATTTTCTATCAAGAACATAATATTCCACTACTACACTAACTATGATCCAAAATGCAGAAAAACTGTTTTGCCTTTTACTGCAAAGAACATTATTCTTTAATTTGATTGGGGTATTCGAATTGCACTCAAAATTTTCCAACTGCATTTTACAAAATCACGTATATATTTCACATATTTGTTTAATAATAATTGTGCCATATAGGCTATTTTAGAATTCAACTAAATTTCAGCCAAATCAATTTGAATTTAAATTAAAAATTGAAATGTAAGCTTACACGGCCAAGTTTGTAGTTGTTTAGGGTTAAAATAATCACGTAAACTATATAAAAGTAATATAAAATATTTACGATGAATAACAAACATGTTAAATACAAACATGAGAAGAGTAACTTAAAGTTGAAAAAAATGACTAAACGTATATAGCCAATCTATAATTTCCAAAAATATTCTGAATATAATAATAATTTTCAATAAAAACTTCTTAATTTGGAGAAAAACGCGTAAACCTAATTAAAAATTATGCTGATTTTCATACTATTTCGAAATTCATCTACTAAGTTTAATTAAAACTTGTGGAACCCCTGCATATTTTTTGTTTTATATTATTACCTATGATTTATCAAACAAAATGAGCATCTAATGTCAAAATTCACAATTTTCCATAAAAGTTGTCTCGACTAATTATATGTATATGCATTTAATTAGTCGTTTAGACTTTTTTGAATTACTCTTTTGTAAATCATCACATTGATGACAAAGTCTCCTACTGATTGTCTCTATACAATAACTATAAACAATAAATTTTTCTTTTGTTTTGTTTTCTTTATTTTATAAATTGTTATCATTAAATTATATCCGTTTCTGGTTAATGATTTATTCAAATTTATTTAAATATGTATATATATATATATGTAGATATACATAAGAAGTATGCCATTTTAGTTTTGTAGTTCAAGGTTAAACATACATTTTACACATATAATTCTAAATACATACATTTTTTCTTCTTCTGTTATTTTATAATAATTTAAAAAGGAAATTAAATTCTAATATATCACCACAATCCAATATAAATTTGGTGCTTATCTTTTGTGTATTTAAAGCATTTCAAACATAACACCTACTTGAAAGCAAAATAAAAAAATCAAAAAGCTTAAAAATATGCAAAATAATTTTGGGTATTTTAAAATTTAATTTTTCATTTTCTGTTTAATTTTATTTTATTGTATTTTTCGCAAATAAAAGAACATCGAAATTTTTTCCATTAAATTATTATATAATAAAAAATCAACATTATCTCTTAATTTAATATTTATTTTAAATACATTTTAGTTGGATATTTGTGATGAATGATGAACAACTTGTCAAATTAAAAACTAGAAAAAAAAAATAATTAAAATATTTTAAAATCAAATACCCAAAGTGAAAAAAAGACATAATGGTTTCGAAAATAATAGGTAGTAAAAAAATTTTTTTTCTTTTTGGCTTTTATCTCACAAATTAATTAAAATTTTACACTTTTAAGAGCATTAATGGCGCTGACACAATACATAAAATTTTTCACCAGGTTCTAAATTTTCTATTTTGTTAATTGATTTTTCTCTTTATTTCTCATAAGCTGATAACGTTATAATACAGTCGAACTTGGGGAGTTTTTGCTTATTCAGTTCTAGAGTAGTTAACGAATGTTCGAACGTACTACAAGTTAGAACTAATATAGATCGTTCGGAAATTCAATCTGCAATAAAGAAATGTTAGTAATGTAGCGCAGACCTCTTGTATAAATTTTGTCGCTGCCTCATGAAATTTTTTTTTTTTAACTGAAAAATCAGAAAAAACTTTAAATTTCAAAATGGCAGATTCAGATATTGAAAGGTTATTAAAGTAAGTTTTCTTTAAGTCTTCAAATCTTGTTAAAATTTCCTTATTTTGTAATGAATTGGAAGGCGAAAAGTATTGGGATACAATTTCATAACCAATATCATTTTTGTTTTCTCGAACGACTAATTATTTAGAAGTTTCAGAATTTGTAGACTGCGTAAATAAAAAAAACTGAACTAAAGTTTTTCCATTTTTAGGCAAATAAATATGCCTACAACTCTTCACAAACAACGTTTGTGCGTATGAGAGTAAATTCTGTTGGTCCCCTATAATAGATGTTTAATTTTCCAATTTCGAGAATTTTAATGTCAAACTAGCTGTACATTATTGCCCTATATTATTTAAACAATTTTAATTAAGATTTGGGGCCATTTAAGGAGACTCTTTTTTCTTTTGGAAAATTTTCTTACATTTCTTACAATAAACTTATTGTGTATGCCTCACATAACAACTAATCACTTTTTAATTCTACTTGCGCTGATTCAACTGTAATTTATTGTAAATTTATTGTTATAATTATTATTTTATAAAATAATAAAATTTTTATTAAATAACATTAAAATTTCAAGTAAAAATTAATTTTTATTTTAGAAAACCAGAAATATTCTTTTGATCAAGAATCTATTCGGTGAGAATAATGTGGTTTTGTTTATTTTTTCCAGTTGGATGAATGATGTAAAATTTATCAAATCAAATGGCAAATTTTTAAAATTAAGTCATTTTATTACCCTTGCTTTTTTTTACGTTATCGTGTATTTTTTTTTAAATTTTATGATTTTTATATTAAAAATATTTTTTTCTTTTGGTGTGAAAAATATTTCTTTGTTTTTGTTTTAATTTTGTTATATGAATGTATACAGGACACTTAAAATGTAATAAATTTAAAATATAATAATTGAAATTCAATAAATTTGTCCTTGAAATATGGTTAAAAAAACTGGATTTTAAAAAATACTTATCTGCAAGATCTAAAAGCCCCTTTTCAATATGCAAACTCCTTAGCTTTAGCATCTTATCCTTCTTTATAAAAATATTTAATTCATTTGTATTCCAGGATATTCCAGGATTTTTAACAAGATTCAAAAATTTTTGTTCACAATTGTTTAAAGAAATTTTTACCGTAAGCACAAACTTATATTATTAAAACGTTTATTAACTCTATCCCCGGATACCATCTGTCCTTGTGATCCCGGCAACTAAACACGAATTTATTTTCTAGAGCAACTTCAAGAATGAATTAAACAATTTATTTGTCAATTCTTAGAGAGGTCTAAAATTATTTGGAAAAAAAACATTATTAGGAAGCTTTGTTGGAGATATGAAATAAAGCGATTTCAGTGGAAAGAATAGATTAGAAGTCACAGTATCCTAACATGTTTTATTAAACGTAAATTCAATGACCATGTATGAGAGTATCATGAGTAGCGTTTAATAAGTTAAAACCCCATATTCATATGTTTGAACTTTAAAAATACTCGTAAAATGTAAGATTATGTGAAATTTCATTAAGTTATGCACATTAATTATTCTTAGGTGTTTAAATTCATTAAAAATATTTTCAAAGTGTTTTTAAAATTTATTCTTTTATTTGTAAGTTTTTTTATAATTAATTATTAACGTTTTGTATAGTCATAAATCTAATAAAGCAAAAATATCTGCCAAAACAACATATTTGAATAAAAAAAAAATTATTGCAATCTTATATCATAAATTTGTAGATATAAAAAAACCAAAATCCAACTTAAAATTCAGCTTTTCGAAATATTTACGACACTCTTTTTTTTTAATTTACTCAATTCTAAAACTTTAATTATTTAGGAATTCTTAATTTCTAATTTATAGTAGTGCATTGTGACACCATAAATATTATTTAATAAAAATAAAATTTTAAGCACTTCTTTTACTAATTTATTTTTGTTTAAGAAAAAAACAAAAAAAAAAACCGAAACCTTTAAGAATTTTAGTAAAAAATTATAATAATTTTTATTTATCTTTTTTATTTTTAGCTCATCTGGAAAAGGATATTTAGAAAAAATCAAAACTTTATTGGTAAATTGTAAACCAGATCCCAATCTTTCAAGTTATATTCTATTTACATTGATACTTGGGAAAACCATCGAAAAATTAATTAAAACAAATCAAAATAATCAAGTACAAAAGATTTTTGGACGGATTTATACAAAATTTTCACCAGCAAAATATTTGGCATTAAGTGAAATTGGAATACATCATTTAATTGAATTATTTTTAACATTAACATTAAGTTCGGATATTCAAGAGATTGCACCAAAAATCAAAGATAAATTACTTTTAATACAATTAGATAAAATTTCATTGAATCGACAAATTTGTATTATGAAAGGACATGTAGCCTTAATGATATTATATGTAGAAAATTTTATGGATTTATCAGATTATATTAAAAAAATATTAGAACAATTGAATTCTATTAAAAATGATATTAATATATGTAAAATATTAAGTGAAGGTCTATGTGAAATATTAAAAAAATCTGAAAATTTCGATAATGGAGAATATTTATTAGTTGGTAAGTTTTTATGTATATTCTTCTAGCGATTTCGTAAAACGACATAAATAATAGCATAATCTTATCAAAAATTATAAATTGAAATTCATTGTAAGATTGTACAAAAATTTGTGATCAAGTATTGCAAAAACGCTTAAGCAAACTTTATATTCTACACAGAATAATAATCAAAGTAAAAATTGTTATTAATATTTTACTAAAATTTGTCCAAAAAGAATAAAAGAAGTAGTAAAATTCTTCTTTAATTAATAATATTTAAAAATATTTTTTATTAAGAAAACCTGAAAAAATATTCTACCGAGATTCGGTGACTTTATACGCTAATAATTTTTTAAATTATAAGATCTTAATTAATTCGGAAAATTTTAAGTGTCTCTAAAAGCTATTTTTTAATATTTTCAAAATATTATTATAATATATATGTACATATATAAAATATAATCTGTTTCACCTATTTACTTTCAAATAAATGTGGGAGCTAATGAGCTAAAATAAAAACAACAGACAAATTTTTATGATCGTTAATTTTATTACATTAATAAAAACATCTCATAACCATGCCATTAAATTTAGAAAACAGACATTTCTTAAATGAAAAAAAAAAAAAACAAAATTTTAATTTTGACATTTTTTATTTTTTATTTATTTTATATTTTAATATTAAATTACGTTAATAAAATAAAATGTTTTTATTCTTAAAATGTTGTTTTTGGTTTTTCATCATTTTTTTTTTCTTATATTTTTTTTTAGATAGCTGGATTACACATTACTTAAATAATAGTTTACCAGTTGAACAAGAACGAACTTTAGAAGCAATACATAATGTTTTTGAAAAAATTCAAAATTATCAACAGAGTGTACATTTTGATAGACCGTCATCATCGCAATCATCAAATAATGTAAATCCATTGAGGGCAAACAACTTTCAAAGTTTGAAAAAAAACTTTAATTTACATTTATTCCCATTTATAAAACAAAATTTTTCTATAAGTTTTTCAATTTGGATACCAAAACTTGCTGCTGATTTTTGTATTCATTGTCATCATAATAATTCATCTATGCAAACTAGTGTAGTAGCTTCCACAAGTACAAATATTAATATAAGTGATCAAGCAATTTTTCAAAAGAATTTTCAATTTTTTATTGATGCAACATGTTCTAATAAAGAGTTTGTATTATTATTTTTGAAAAAAAAAAATATCCTGGTTGTAAAAATAATTGTATAATTTTTTCTTATGCTTTAAGGGCTCCATTGAAATTTTTGCTATCATTACTTGCTTCTGATAAAAGAAATGTGATTCCAGCTGCAACAATCATTCAAGTATGGTTAAAAAGTTTAGTTTTACTGTCATCGAACAATGAGGTAAATCAATTAAAAAAAAATTGATTTTTAAATGAATAAAAAATTCGCAGAATTTTTAACTTATTAAAATTCTTTCATAAGTCTAGTAATTTCAATAAATTTCTTTTCATTTTAATATACGCTATTGTATTATATATAAAGACTCGTTTCAAATCAATTTTAAATTATAATATAAGATTTTCATGCTGATTTGAACTTTAAAATGTTAAGTTGGTTTAAAAACAGAAATGAATCTAGTTTTCAAAACATAATTGTAAATTCTTTAAAGTTGATGGAAATGGTTAATATAAAAAAAATTTAATAATTTAATTAATAAATTAATTAATAGAAATTTAACTGAGTCGAGTGCAATGATAATACTAACTAAAGTATTATAATTCTTATTTCATAATTAATTTAATATTAAAACACATATTATGTACATATTATAAGCGCACATTTCTATTATTTTTTAAATGTCTTGTTCTAAAATTAATCATATCATGATAATCTGGATTCGATTAGAATTCATCCTAATTATAATTATAGTAATTCTGAATGGGACAACAATGAAAAATTTATTGTTCTGTAAAATAATATTATTAGATATGTAACTAAACATGAAATTGAAAATGTAAATTTTACTGTAACTAAGAATTTAATATACTTAAGACTATACTAAGAATATACCATTGATAAATGAGGTGATATATATCCGATTATCTTGAAAGGAAAGATATAACAATTTAATTAATTTTCTTAATTTTTTTTGTAATTAAAACTGGTCTCATTTTATTTAAAGCCATAAAATAATTTATACTATAGGTGTAAAAATTTAAAAATATAAATTTTATTGACATCAATATTATATATTCCAATTTTTTTTTTAAGTCTTTCGAATAAATTAAAAGAACAATTTAATGATCTAATCAGAATCAAATTGTTCTTTATTATTTTTTGTTTTTTTTCAAAAAAAAAAAATAAACCTGATTGCAGGCACCGCATGAAGGGTGTTCGCATATCTCTTCCAAAAAAATCACATATATTAAATAATTAAGGAACCATTGTAAATTTACAATTTAGAAAACACAAAATGTATAATTTTGGATGATCTATAAACTATTGATCTTAAATTTTTTCCTTTTATAAATTAAAATTATTTTTAACACTGTTCTAAAATATTACAGTTAAAAATAGAAATTAATTCCTATATGTGTTTTAAGCTGATTTTAATATGTTCAAATTTCACTATCACTAATTCGAATTTACTATTAATCGAATATTTAAATGAAAATATGTAAGTAAATTAAAATTATCATTTATTTATCTAAGTAAATTAGAATTATTATATAGTTCATTTTCTATTGATTAAATTGAGAAATGTGCAAAAGCCATTATTTCGCTCTTTTAAGTTTATGTTGACCACATAAATTACTTTATATTTTTAGCTACAAATTTCTTATTAAAAAATTAACTTTAGTTTGCTATTTTCCAAATCCAAAAGCAACATACGCAAATAGAACCATTTAAAACTAAATTACCAAAAATTCGATATTTTTCTACTACCAGAATGTAGTTCTAAGAGAATATAATGAATACAGAGTTGAGGAAAAGTGTGAAATAGTTTGACATTTTGTGTAGTTCTTATTTATATTATTAAATTCGCTATTTTTCAATTTTCTATTCATTTTCATATCATCTCTATTAATTATACTTACTTATTACCAAACTTAAATAAATTACTCGTATATTTTTTAAGATGTTTGAAGTTAAAAAAAACCAGTCAAATAATTCAATTTTATTATTTTGAACTCGATACATAAACAGAGAATATAGTATAATTTAGATTTTTTTATTTAAAATATTATTTATGATCTAAATATTATTATTGAGCTGGTTTTAATAAAATATAAAATAAGTTATAAAATCTTTAGTAGAACCAAAACCATTGTTGTTGAATTTTCTAAAAATTTTTTTAATTTTCTTGGGATTCTTAAACATTTTTTTGTTTTTGGCAATAACAATTGAATTATTTTTGTTCGCCTCTTTTTTATTTTTTCAAAAATAAAATAATAATATACAAAAAAGAAAAAATTAATAAATTTAATATAAAATACAAACTAATCTTGATTTTCAGGATGTTGTGAATTTAACAAGAATTGTAACTAATCTTGATGAATTTGGTTTTGTATGTGATTTAGCTGAGAATGATTTGTTAACAGCAAAAGAAACTTTATGCGTTTTTGTATCAGCTGTTGGTCGCAATTACAGAAATATTGAAAATTTTCAAACAAAATGTTCAGTAAGCGATAAATTTAATAAATATTTAAATGGTTTCGAAAAATGGTATACAGATAAAAATGAAAAGCCAGAAGTAACAATACGTTTTTATAGCTTTATAGCGATTGTAATTTTTAATTGCCCCGAAATTGTTTATGCGAAAGTAAGTGAAAATATTTTTTATAGTTTTGTAAACAAAAAACCAAATTTAATACGATTTTATTTTTTAGTCAAAAATTACCTGTTTTTTTCATATTGCAATGACACGTTTCATTCTTCCGACAACAATACAAGTTGGCAAGGCCCCAGACCAAAAACTAACTCAAGTTATACATAAGGTATGGCCAGTGCTTGTACAGGGTATTGGAAATCTTAATTTCAAAGGTGATCCATATGTTTCAAAAACTTTGACCGATCTAATTGTTAAATGGACTCCATATTTTAAAATAGTGAGTTATTTTACTAAAATTTATAGTTTATTACTTTAAATTCTTACTTTATTTTAGTCACAAAATCCAAAGATTGTCGCTCGTCCCTTTTTAAATTGTTTATCCGCAGAAAATGAACAATTATCAATATTTGTCTTTGAAAAATTGACAACAGTTTTTTTAACAATGCAACGAAGACAAGCTGATCCGAATGCATGTTTAGTTATAACAATATTCCAGGAAATTGTTGAAGCCAATTCAGATAATTCTTCTAAATTAAAATTGTTTGTAAAAGCAACATGTTTAACAACACTTGAACATTTAATGATGGTAGAAGAAATCGTTCCGAGTCGTTCTTTATTATTGGATATGTTCAAAAAAATTTGTAGAAGCTCAGCTTTCAGGAGTAGCTTAGAGATAAGGTGATTTTTATTGTATAGTTATTGTAGAGTTACAAATATAAAACTAAGTAATTTTCAGAGAAATAATAACAGAGCATTTAAGAATTATTACCGTAAAACATCTTTCATATTATACGTTCTTTCTTTTTGACATGTTAACTCAAATTGTTAATATATGTGTTGATTTAGTGGAACCAATTTTAGGATTTCTAATGGAACAAATTAAAGTTGTCGAGCAAAAACGCGGTGTTGGAGAAGATCAAAGGATAAGGTTGATTTAATTGAAGTTATTAATAAAATATTTATTTTTACTTAAAATTTTTAGGAGCTGCTTTCAAAAACTTCAAGGCTCAATTTTAGCGGCCAAAAATAGGAGATAAAACAGAACAGAATAAAAAATATTTTATCAAATGAGATAATTTGCAAATGATTCGAAATTAAATGTTTAAAATAAGCTTTTTATTACGTTTATAATTTTTTACTGAAAATAATTATTGACGTTTGTAATTATTTTGCAAAATAACTAAAAATACGCAATACTAGAAAATTTGGTATGCTAACTTATTTATTTTACTCAAGCTCAAGTCAGTTTAGGCAATAGTAAGGTGACATATAAATCTACAGGAATTTTGCAACTAATAACCACACTTAATTATAGATACTCTTTTAATAAATTTTACTGCCATTTATCGTACTTACCTTTACATGCAGTATTTCTTTACTTTAAATTATCAATATCTAGTTGGCATGTCAGCATATAATGAGAATTTAAATAAATGTGTATTAAATTAAAATTTTAGGATGAATTTTTTAAAATTTTATAAAAAATTATGTTTTTATTTATTATAAATACTTTCCTTTAAATCTGAAACCTATTTTATCAAAATACTTTTTTTTATTGCTCACATCTGCTTCAATATCAAGCACAAGTAACTTTGTTTAAAGTTATAACTGCATTTAAAATAATTGTAATAATTGTATAAAATACAAATATTTGTATTTTTTTTTAAACTAATGTACTCGTTAGATACTAATAAATAAAATTAAATTTAAAAGGTTTCATTAAATTGAAAGATTTTTTTGTTTTTGAATAGGGGATTAAGAGGATCGAAAATGTTTCAACGGTTATAAAACAATTGCCAGAATTAAATTAATTTAAAAAATCAATTTTTTAGCCAATTAATAAAATTAGACAATAAACATTAAAGGTAGTACAATATTAGTAATATTAGTACATAAGTATAAAAAAAAATGTAATGTATAATAATTTTCAAATTATTTTTTTTTCTTTTTATTATTTTTATTTAATAAAATTCAACAGCAAAATACAAAATCTTATTCTTGTTTTTCTATTTTTTTTTTTATCTTTTTAAATATATTTACAAATTTAATACCTATTTACGTTTTTAGTTTATTTTTTTTTCAGTTTTGATTAGTTTACTTTGTTATTTAATAATTTATTTAAAAAGAATTTTATTTTTAAACTTTGTTTTATTCATATTTAATATAAAGGTTTAAGTTTTATAAAAAGATTAATTATAATGTGGCGAAAATATGGATGGATTAAAATTTAGTTTGTTCAAAATAAGCGACAAAGAGAGCAGCTATTTTAGAAGCAATTGATTAAAAATTTTTTTTTAATATTATTTATTTTTGTTTCTTTTTTTTTTCTTTTTTTTGTTCTTAAGTCTCATATTTAATATCACTTATATTTCTTTTATGCATTTTTTTATTTTCTAAATATTAACAACACTTCAAAAAAAAAAAATATTAAATTTAAAATGCTCAAAATAAATCGATAAAAGTTGAAATTGTGTTTTTGCTATTAATTATAAAATGCGAAATGATTATTAAATAATTCAATTATAAATGGAGCTAGAAATATTTAATATAAAGTTTTAATACTTTTTAAATTGGTTCATTTATTCAATTTTTTGTATTTATTTAAAAAATCCAAAAAAATTTAAGTAATAAATCGTTACCATTTTTATATTTGAACATGGTTTAATAAAAAAAAAGTTGTATTCAAATTACGTTTAATTACTGAATATTTAAAAAATAATATTTTAATATCTGAAAAAGAGGTAGAAATTGAATATTTCATTCTTTAATTAACATGGTATTATCACTAAACAGCACCGAATAATATTCATATTTGAAACGATTTTTTCCCGTAATATTGGCATAAAACTTTAAAAATTAAATTTTTCGTTTCTAAAAGCCCAAAGACTTTGCGAAAAATGAAGATAACATTAAGATTACACGAAAAAATTGTATGAAGAGTAAAATTCCTGAATTGTTTTTCTAGTTATTCGTACTGCTTTTATTATTTTTTATAAAAGTAATTTCCGGAAGCAAAATACTGCTTAATAACCTTTTAAAACATAATGCCTATTGCTAAATTTTTTTTACTCTTTATATGTTTCCGTATTGTCCTAAATTGTTTGTTTTTAAAATTAATTTCCACATCAACTAATTATAATCAATTATTATATCAATAACTACATTTTATTATCCAAATAATTTTTAGAATTTAAAAGTAAGAAATAAAAATTTTGTTAAATCAAAATTCTAGCAATTTTTTTGCAAAAGCTGCAATATTTTCATTAACTCAAACTATAAAAGCGTGAATTTTTTAAAAAATTTGAATTGAATTCTTTTTGAAAATATTCTTGTTTTCATTTCAGTTTCCAATTTACTAAAGTAAACTTTAAAACGAAAAATTAAAAAAAAATTTTAATTTTTTCCTTTCTTTAAACAAAACTTTTAACAGCATAATAAAATATTTAACAATTTGTTTTTTTGTTTTCAGTTCAATTGTTTTTATTTTTTTAATATAATATTTTTTTTCTATTATTATTATCTATTTTTGTTTTCGTTTTATTTCAAATAAATTTTATTTTATATTTAATTTTTGTATGTTTTTTTTTCTTTGTAATAATAATATATAAGTAGATAAAATTTCTATTTTGTTAATTTTAATGTTAAAAGATGACATTGCATATTAAAATATGTTTTACTTAAAAAAATTTCTTATTTATATTGACAAAATTGATCATAAAAATATTAACAAATGTACAATGAGTACACAATAAAGATGATAAAGTATTTTTAATAAGAAAAATTGTTATTTTATATTTTATAATTTGGAATAAAGAGGAAATATAGAAATATATTCAATATTTAAGTTAATGTTTAAAAAATTACAACAAGTTGTTAACAAATTACAATGATATTAAGCGATAAAAAGGCACTTCAAAATGTTATAATGATAAGAAAAAAATAAAATAGAAAAATATTAGTTTTAATTGAATAAATGAAAGAAATTCTGATCTAATTCTAATTATTTTTAATTTAAAGACTTATTATAATGAGTAAATTAAGATTAATATTCATTATTAATACGTATATTAGGTAAATTTTCTATATTTATGAATAATAATATTTTATAGCACTGTAAAAATATGCAATTTAATTAATTAAATTCTACACCAAAATACTATAGTAAAAATATTAAATTGCGGCATCGAATTTAAGAAAAAAAAACCGGAATATTTGGACATTCAAAATGTAAAAAAAAGGTTCGATTTAGTATAGTTAAAATATGCAAAATTAACTATTAGACGTCGCGTTTTTTGTCGTCAAAAAATTTTTACTTGTCAATTATATAGACAAAATAATATTAAATATTATTTAAATATTAATTAATTATTAAAGAATTCGAGCAAAAGTATAATTTCACATTTCTTAAACGAAAGCTAATTTATACTTATATTTAAGTGCTCAAAATAATTCGATAAAAGCTTCTTGTTCATAATGATCCCATTATTATTTAATTTCAATTAAAGCACCACATTTCAATTAATACATTCACATATTTTATGTATTTGTTTTTATAATATATCAATATAATAAAAACAAAACAATTTACAAAAATTTTCAAATCTCTTTCAAGATAAAATTTCTTTTATAATGATACATATTTCAAAATTTAAAAAAAAAAACCATTTTATTATAATATTAAAAATTAAATAAAAACTTGAATAAAATATTGCTTTTTTTTCGTTATTGTTAATAAAATTTGCTAATATTTGGAAAATTGGAGAACATTTACAAATCATGTCTTTTACAACTTTTAAGGATACTTCATTAATTTCAGAAAAATTAAAAAATTAATTATTTTAAAATTTTCAATATTTATGATATATTATTAGTTACTAATCGTCTATTAAAAATTAAATATCTAAAATTATTTCAAAGCTTTTTTTAATTTTTGAAAAATCGTATTAAAATTTTATTTAACAATTAATCAAAAAAAAACATATAGTAAATGTTTTTGTAAACTACTTTTAATTTTGATTTTAATTTCGAATAACAATATCATTATGTAAATAGTCATTTTAGAAAAAACAATGTTTTTTATTTTTTTTATTTTTGTTACAAATCTAATAACAACATTTATTGAATTAATGCATGCAAATATTTGTATAAAAACGTTTTTCCCTATATAGAAATTTTCATATTTTTTCTATTTAAAAAATTATTTAATTATATTTTTTAAATAAATGAAAAAAGTTACTTGTTAATATAAAAAACAATAATTTTATAACGTTAGCAGCAAATACTCAAACGCGTACAATTATAATTATTCTTTTTTTTTTATTTATTTGTTTGTATGCAATGTCATCCTGTTGGCGGGAGATAGTTATTATTGATTAAATTTTATTTTCTTATTTTATTTATATGCTTTGTTCCTTTTCTCTTTTATTTATTTTTAAAATATTTTTTTTTTATTTATTAATATACAAAATTTTATTTTATTTAGTTTATTTTTCTTAATTTTATCGAAACATTTTTCCCATCTGTTGCATTTTGTCATCTTTAATTTTTTTTTTTTTTTGTATAAATTCGATTTTTTTATTAAACTTTTAAAGTTCAAACATAAATATTAAAAACATAACTACCAAAATTATTTTTATGGGAAATGTATATATATATTTATTATATATATATTACATATATATATATATATATATATATATATATAATATACATTATGTATTGAAAGCAAGGTAATAAAATTTTGCACATTCCAAGATTTATCAAAAATAAATTTAAATTTAATGTGCACATGAAATCAGTTTAGTACATGGCTGAAAATAGCCGATTCATTGCAATGAGACCAAGTTATATTAAAATTCAACTAGAAAAAAAATGTATTTTCCGTATTTCGACTTTTTACTAGGTAGACTTTATATAATCTATCACATTCTTTGGTGATATTATTGAAACTAATATGGGGAACTAAATGAAAGTAAACAGAATCATTACAATATTAATTGTGAATATTTATAAAGAAAAATTGTGTAAAAATTTTTTGAATAACACAGTTTTAAAAGTTAATATTATTTTACTAAAAGAAATTTGTAATTCTGTAGACATTATCCTCTTTTATTTCTTCATGAGTTAGTAAATAATATATGTAATTTCAAAAAAAAAAATATTAATTAAAAATGAAAGAAAAATTAATAATATGAATGTTACAAATTAACTTTGTTTCAACAAAGTTTTTTTTAATGAAATATTAGAATCACTTCAAAATATTTTGGATGTCGTTAATTTTTTGGTGTTATTACTTATTGGGATTAAATATTTGGTGTTAAAGGAAAGTAATTAAAGAAAGAAAAACTTAAAATTTACTGAACTAGAGCACCGTCACTAAACTTATGAACAGAAAATGAAAAATCTTTAATTAAAGAGATGGTTTTTAAAACCCAATGTAAATCATTTTTACATTTTATGCTATCAGTTCCGATTAATATTCTTTATGCTACAAATCTATTAAATTAATTTTTTTTTTATTATACGTTTAAATTGATTATTGTTATTTACGAAATATTTTCTTTATTTTTAATTAAATATTTAAATTACGTAGTTGGTTGTTTTGTATTTACATTGTATTTAACACAAATAATGTTAATTATTTAAAATTTGTATTAACATTTTCACTTGGTACTTGAGCTCAGTGATTATGTTAAAGTTTCTACTAGATCTTATTTGTGATACATTAGTACAAATTTGTATTTAGAAATATTTTGAATTTTAAGTTAATATAAAAGTGGTCATTATTTTTTTCTTAGATTTAATTGATTGGTAAAAAAAAATTTTATTTTGTTCCACTAATTTTCTTTTCGGCTTTGTGTTATTTTCTTTAAATTCAGTTTTACAAACTATTTCCTACTTGAAAACCCAAATTTTATCGTGTTCTGCTTCTTAGAAATTTATAATTATAAAAGCATTTCCATAAAGAGACACATTCTAGTTAATTAACAAAATAGTAAAATAATAAACTGCAAAAATTTAATAAAAAATATATTTTATACAAAAAAAAAAAGTAGTAATAAATAAATAATTATAGTTAGGGAAATAACGTATATTTATATTTTTTATATATATTTTTATGTTTATTTAAAAAAAAAAAATAATAATAATAAGATCAACAAAGATTTTAATTTACACTTCGTCCGGGGCTAAATTTGTCGAATTTTCCGCTCCTTCTCTATCTTTGTTATTAGTTGAATCTTCACTAACTGGTGCTGGCGCCGCCGCTGGTGCTGCTGGTGGTTTTGAAGGTGCATCGAGAATATCATCAACTGATTTTAAATCAGCTTCAATCGCTCTAATACGATTCTCATGCTTCACAATAATTGCTTTCAATTTACGAATTTCATCGGTAATGTCCCGTAAATCTTTTTCCTAAAAATTCAAACAAATTACATTACATTATTATAAAGATTTCTTAAAGTAACATTTATAAAAAACAAAAAGAAATATTTACTGTGATTCCGGAAACAGGACTGCTGTTATTACTTTGATTGATTGATAATGCGTTATTAACTTCTGATGCTGCTGCCGCGGCTGCTGCTGATGATTTTGGTGCCTTTGGTGGAATTTTATTTAATATATTTGGTTTCTTTGTAACAGAAAGTGACTTCGTCGCTGATTGTGATACATAACCACCCTGTACAATAGAAACACGATCCTTTTGAGATTTTTTTAGAAATTCTGTTCTTTTTAATGTTATTTAATAGTGTTAGAACAAACCACACAACGTGCGGATTAAATTTCACAACAATAAAATATCACAAACGGTCAAATAAAATGTTGGCAAAATGAAATTATATATTGAGAAAATAATAAAAATAATTGTTGCCAATAGAATACTGAAATTTCATTTTACCTTATGGTAAAGTAACAAAATTTTTTATATTCCAAATTAAAAATATTTGCAGTTATAAATATTTAAATAAACATTATTTAGTGCTCACAATTTTTAGTATTTTTTAGTTGAAAACTTTTTAGTTGAAAAAAAAAATAAGAATATCCTTAAAGCAGGGAAAATCAAAAAATCAAAATGAACTCATTTATGCACTTATCAAACAAAAACATTTTCTATACAAAAAAAAAAAGAAATGAAAACAACAAGAAGTTTATTTCGAAATGATTCCAATTAATTAGCAGAATGTTCTTCAATTATTTCGAAATTTGAAATTTTTCTTGGCAAAATTTGAAAAGATTAAAATAATGTGTATGGAAATGAATTGGAATCACTTATTATAAAGCTAGATTATTACAACTAAACGAAGAGAAAAATAAAATACCCTTACACCTTTTTTTTTTATATCAAAGTCATGTTCGCATTAAATAGCATTTAACTTAATATTAAAATTTAGAGGAACACATTTGCAAAATGCAATTGTTTGAAAAACAGAAAAAAATTATCATTAATTATGTATTATGTAAATACTTGTAAGAGTAAATTAGATTTAGAGTAGTAAAGAGTATTTAATTTTGATAAAAATAACTAAAAAATTAATAATTAATTTCAAGCTTATTTTTACTAAAACAATTTTTCAATTTGTAATGAAAAACATTTTACATTACGAATTTAAACTCAATCTTTTATGAATTTTGACTTAACTAAATTTTATCACATATCAACATAGCATAACTTTAGGCGAACGTTTAAAAATATTTTGCTTTTTGAATTAATAGTACAATTGTAATTAAATCCATAAATGGAAACTAATAGAACATAAAAAAAATATTAAGATTATTTTTTTTTTAATTTGTTGAAAAGGTACCGAATTCAAATAATTATAAAATACTTTCTCCTCATTTCAATTAATAATCATGCTTTATGTATATTTCGGGGGATTACTCTTTTACATCATCAACTTACTTTTAGAGAACATAAAACCGGATCTGCATCTTGACCGCCAAACCATTCTTCTGCTGTTAATGCGGGATCATCAGATAATGTATCTGGGTATAAATCTTCTTGAAATAAATCTGATTTTCTAGGTACAGTCATTGATATGACTTGACATAAACCATTATTGTTGAGCCGATAAAATTTAGCTATTTCACATGTTGTTACATCACAACCACGTTTTGGCATAATACCAATACCACGTTGTGGGTCTGGTGTTTGAAAAGTATTAATATAATGTACAAATGGTGGTTCAGGTGTAATCTAAAATTTTAATAAAATAAATTAGCAACGATCAACAAAAAAAAAAAAAATAAGCAATAAATAATTTAAAAGAAATATTTTGATATCCAAACATATTTCTGAACTTACTTCAAAATATCGTATAACAGAATCACCTTTCCCGCATAGATAAACTAAATTTGTATCCGGATCATACAAAGGGAACATAACACCATTTGATGTATCCAATTCAACCATAACAATTGGTTCACTCAAAGCATCCGGTGCTCTCAATGAATACTGTCTTTCTGATGATCGATTAAAACCAGTAGTAAATATAAGACCATGTCTTAAAAATATAGCACGCGTTGCTTTAGCTCCATCATGGCATAATGCTTCACTTTCCACTTCACCAGTTCTAGGATCATAAATACGAATTTTTTTATCTTTACATGTTGTTACTAATTTTGAGCCATCCCAATTGAAACAGGCACTATATACAATATCAGGATGTGAATCAATGTGTATTAAGATTTCACCGGTTCCTACATTCCAAATAACTACCTAAAATGAGAAAAAAATAATACGTTATACCATTATAATCTATTACAGTTCTTTTTTATTTTATTTTTGATTTACTTGATTATCAGAACCAGCTGTTAATAGTACATTCAGTGCGGACGGATGCCATACAACTAGACCGACTCTTCTTTGGTGAAATAGTAAATCTACTACAGGTTCAGTTAGCGTTCTAGATAAACCACCGTCTGGTATTTGCCATACTTTAACAACACAATCTTCTGATCCAGAAGCGATAACATTATCATTATGTGGACACCATGCTATATCTAACACAGGACCCTTATGACCACCAACTAAAGGATGATCAGCTGCAATACGACCAACCTGTAAATGGAAAAGAATATTATTCTTTAACTACTTGATTATATTAAGTATATAATTATAAATATATCTATATATAAGAATGGAAGCAAAAAAAAGAAGTTCTCATAAAATTTTTGACAAATGGTTTACAAATTTCTTAAAGTATTTTGAATTACCTACAAATATATTTTTAACAAAAATAGAAATTACGTAGATAAGTAACGCATATTATAATATGTATATTTAAATTTTGTTCAGAAAAAAGATTGAAAGATTCTAGAAAAGATTGAAATTTTGAAGACGCTGAAATATTGAGCATAATATATTGAGAATGCTTTAGTGTTACAAAAAGTGAAATTTTATAAAATTGACAACAAGTTGAAAATTTAAAATTAAATTTTATAATTACATTTTTTAAATTCAGGTTACCTCCTGCAGTTGTATATATTTTTATCAATATGTTTAATAAAATAAGTACTTAATTAGGATCAAAAGTCAGGTGTCAGCAAGGAAACTTTTACTAGAGGTTAAATCTACATTTTCGCTCATATATAGAGAACTAATTAACTATTTAAAAAAAACATTTATTTGAAATTTCTGGATATTAAAACAATGGACCCGTAAATTTTTCGCGAATATCAGGGCTCGGAAACAAAAATTTCACCAAGGGTCGATTTTTATTTGAAATCACACCCAAGTAACTAATCGATGTAGTTTCTTGAAATTCAATATTTAAGTTCTGGTTGTTAATGAATATTAATTGGGAAATTTTGCGGATAATGGAAAAAGAAATTCTACTAAAAACCAAAATTATATTTTTCTGGTTATACATTAAGTAAAGCCGACTTTCTATTTCTAGTAGAATTTGGAATTGATATTAAAAGGAAATTTAAAATAATCTTATGCAACACTTCAACAATGCGGTCGGCTGTGTGCTGATCACATCTAATTTTTATAACTTGTGAAAATTACTTCATAATTTTTTAATGGATTTTTTGAAAAATTCGTCACACAAATATTTTTGTGATATAAAATAACGGTACAAGTTAAGGTTTTTCTTTAATTAAGACATACATGGGTTGGTAATACAAGCATTCGCATTTTATATGGATTTCATTTTCAATACTTACTTATTTTATAAATACTCAATGATACCAGTAAATTTGTCCTACCTCTCAAGAAAGTTCAGTATTGCCGTTTTAAAATAAATAATTGAATTTTATTTTTTTAATTCACGTCAAATTTACAAAATTTTTTGAACAGTTATGCTAAATAATATGAAGAACGAAAAAAAAACGAATTGTTTTTTAGAATTAAAAAATTTAACTATTCGATTTTATTTTTCAAAATGTAAAAAGAAGCATGAACAATTATATTAAAAAATATTAAAATACTTAAGTATAGTCTTAGTGCTTAAGTAATTTAAATTTAAATAAACATTTAAGTAAAAAAAATTTTTATGTAATCAAATTCGTTTCATTAGTAAAGAAAACTTGGAAAATTGGAGAAAAAGAAACCTTCTAATTAGTCAATATTGTAAAAATACACATTTATAATTCATGTATTAGCTGTGCCCCACACTCTTACCACCTCCACCATATTTTTCTATCGGTAAAAATAACGTCATAATTATTTTTGCAAAAAATTTCGTAAAAAAAATTTTCTTTTTTTTTTTTTTTCATTTCAATTTTAGCAAAATTAGTTTTTATATTTTATTTTTACTGAATTAAAAATTAAAATAAAAATTTCTCACCTACATTTTCTTTTTTTTTTCTTGGCATTTGACCAAGAATAATAACTAGAAGCAACAAATTGGAAAACAACAAAAAATTTCATTTGAGAAAAAAAAGCATTTGTGTGGAAATGAACGAAAAAAAAAATAAAAAAAAAAATATAAAAAAATTGAGTAAAATGAAAACTATAAAAAGTTTTTCTTTGGATTTCCTCTAAAAGCCTCATTAAATTAAACAAGTAACAACAACAAAACCATTTTTCGTTTTTCCATTTGTTTTTCATTTTACTTCAAAAAAAAAAATTATAAATAATTTCGATGTCAAACGCTTCATCAAAAAAATTCGATTTAAATTAGAAAAAAAGAAAAGGATAAAAAATTTTTAATGACACTTCTTTTTTTTTGGTTCTCTTTAAAATGGCAGAGGAAAGCATTAATTAAATATTTGAAATTCATAAAAAAAAATCAAAATTTGAATATAGATGCATATTTTGCAAAAAAGGCGTACTTAATACTTGCACTATTGGAAAAAAAAATTGTGCTATTGACTTATCTCTGTTTGTTTGTCCGTATATGAATGAGCTTCTCCGTTAACAAACCTTATCCGATAAGAAAGACAACTGACAGCAGTCTTGAGAAGACTAAATCTTGCTGAGAAATCTATTTTCATATAAAGAAATTCTCATCTATCCTTTCCGTCCTTTAAAAGTTGCGACTCCCAAAGTCTTGAAAATTTCGTTTTTGACTACTAATTTCGTCAAACAATAAAAATATATATATATATATTTTTTATACTGCAATACCAGCTGTGATAAGCTCGTTGAATTCTTATCTCTCATAATATGAGTTCGTCTAATTTTGTAACAAACCTTTGTACAATAATTATTCCATTTGTACAATAATTATGGAATATACTTACTAAAATAGTATTAAGAAGTTATAAGACAGTGTAAAAATAAATTTTACATCGTACTTTAAAAATCACTCTTTCTCTGGGAAATGTGCTGCCTTGCAAACCATTAGTTAAATTCAACTTTATTGATATGTTAATAATCAAACAAATTATTAGGCTTATTATTAAATAATAAAATTGGAATGCTTGTACACTTGATACTTAAAAAACTTGTAAATTATATTAAAAATTTACAAACCCAAATTTTATTTATGAATTTTTTTTTGATGTTTGAATAGATAAGCCTATGTTTATATTTCTTTTTACTTTCTCTTCTAAATATCAATTCGATTTTAGTTTTCTACATATAAGTATTTATGTATATTGTAAACGATTATATTGCTTGCAATACTCGTAACACACTTAAATATTTACATAAATATCGAATTAAATCGAAATCGTCATTGAATATTGATTCTCTCTATTATAATATTTACTTATGTTAAATAAATACATTTGAGAGAATTTAAATGAGCTATACGAGTACAATAAAAGATGTAAGTATATGTATTAAGTATTTGACTTGACATTTGTTATAATAAAAAAAACTGTTATTTTTATTTTCAATACTCTTGGTTTTTTTTTTTCAAACAATAATACCACAGTGATTAATACAATAGTAATTAAAAGAAAAATTAATCACAAACTAATAATTATTGAAAAAAAAACTAAAAAATTATGGACTTACGTACATATATACATATATAATTTTAAAGTTTTCGCTCAGAAAATTAATTATCAACTGACTGGACACATTCAAACCATGTTAATGAAATCACGTTGAATGGCAACACCATTTTAGCAAATCAGAGATATGTGAGAGAGAACTCGTTTGTGATATGCATGGGGAATTCGGGTAAACGTAACAGCTGAACGAATAACAAATATTTGTCAAACTACAGATATGGTTAGTATACAGTGTTAATTAATCAGTGCAAACAAACTATAGGTATTTCACACGTCAGTTAAGTAAATTTTAACAATTCGATTTAGATCAAGAAAATCAACAGAGACTAAATAACCTCAGAAATTATCAAAAACTTAGAACGTTTCCTTTTTATAGATTCAAAGGGTAAAATCTACATATATTAACCGTTTAATACCGTTTACGGGGTAAAAATTCGTTAAATAATTTATTATTAGCAAAATAATAAAAGTATTAAAATTATTTTTTTTATTTAACAAGAAAGTAAATAAGTTCTTGTTCTTTCGATTGAATGTTTTCTTTATTTGAATTTAAATTATTCGTTTTTATGTAACCTTGAATTATTACAATTCTCGTTGATTTTTATTTGAATTTCGTTATGAAACTGTTAACAGTTTCTGCAATAAAAGTGTACATAGTAAAAAAAATTTTAATACAACTGCTATTGCAACAAATAAATATAGTTAACTGCCTGAATAAGCCTAGCCTTTCGAATTAGGCATCAAGCATTTAAATGATTAAGTATTTAAGTAAGAATGTTCATATCAAAGCTACGTTTCGAAAACTTGTATTTTTTGTTCAAATAAGTATAATTCAAGTGTATAACTGCAGCGTTATCACACAAAGTTTTTCGCTAAGTTTCAAGTTAATATTCTCTTATTAGAATCCTGTAATTTTAGTACCTGATGTAATTCAAATAAAGGAGTTCACAAAATTTGAGTGCACATAAGCAAAGATATTTTATTTTTCAATACTTCTTTGAAAAGAAATTTGACTATAATGTATCACTAAGAGTAAAATGCGCAAAACTATGGAATTTTTTCAAATCAAAAAAATTATGAAAAATAAAAATTTTCCATTTTCTAAATAAGTATACTTGTATGAAAGAAGACCTCATATAATTATTAAATTTCAATAAAATATTTTATGTGTCAATGTTAAAACAGCAATGACATTTTTTAAATTAACCATAGCTTCATATATAAACTATAATAAGTAAATATATTTAATATACTTGGTTATATATGCACATGCATATACATATTTATGTATGTATGTGTGAATACATGGTTTAAATACTGTTTCATGTCCCCCTTTCTTTTTGTTCCCTCCTCTCACATATTAAACTCATTGCACATTATTTATTTCACTCTATTGCTGTTTCCTTCACCCTTCCCCCCTCCCCGCCCCTCCGCATATTCAACTTTCAAGTACATATTTATTATGTATTTATATTTTCTATCATTTTCATCAACAAATTTTCCACCTTGACCTTGTGTCGTCTTGGTAAAAGAAAAAAATTAAAACAAAAAAAAAATTATAAACGCTTTGTATGGGAAAATGGAAAATCATCCAAAGCATATAAAAGAAATTTTGTGAAATAAAAAAAAAAAACAGAAAAAACAAGTATC